GATGATGCTAAATTCAGAAAGGAACAGAGAGTGAGGAAGAAATAAATTCCTTCCATTTCCTCAACAGCTCACAAAGCACACAGCGTAAATGAACCGGCTCTCCGTGATCAGGTGACTTGATAATTTGCGTGACAAAAGCTACATAACGCAAGCTTTCCGTGATGTTGATGCGGTCACGACGAAAGAACACGAACCTCGAATTCTCTCTTGTCACGACATACTGTATTTTAAACTGTGATTTCCAATTTTTCTGGGAGAGCTGGCGGAAGGGGAATATTTTTAGGCTTATTTGTTAAGCTGAGACATGAAGGTCAACGATATCAAAGGGACTTATTAGTACGTTCCTCGTTCAGGACGATGTAACAAATCAGGCGCTTATAAACTGTTTATAATCTATCGGTTCAAAGATTTCCCTTCGACTTAAAATCATTTCCTACTTACTTCCCAAGTACTTTTCTTTAAAATTATCTTCAATTGAGGATTGAATACTTTGTCTCTTTTTCGTGTCGCAATATTGAAAAGAAAAAAAGGGCATATTTTGGGACAGTGTGAATCGCTCTTTGATTCCTGTTGTTCTACCGCCATTCATGCAAGTTAACTGATTATAAATTCAGTGCGCAGGATGAAAAATAGAAGTTTTGGACACTTACAGTGACCTTAGGAAAAAGAAATGTTGAACGTGCTAAGTTAAAAATAGAGAATCATTTTCCTGATCAGGAATTCGACAAGGGATTAACCTAAAAAAGAGCCTGAGAAGAAAAAAAGCGTCGCTAATCGAATTTTCATCACAATTGAAAGCAGCTTTGGAACGATCACGTTTAGGCATTTATTAGAATTTTAAATTTGAATCTCATAAATTGTTTGAACGCGGACATGTGAATTATTTAGTTTCTAGAAACAGTTCTCTTTTAACAGTTCGTAAATTGATTAGAGAGGAAAGACAGAAAGTGGGTAAGATGTACGTTCAGCTCCAAACTTCGTTTTGGTTAAAGAAACTATGGCGAAAACAATAGAGTTGCCTTTAGGACTAATGCTTTGTTTTACAATAGCATAGGGGTTACACAGAAACCTCTCCGAAAATAGCAACAGAGCCTGCCTGTTTATTGAAATACCATCAACTCCACTTACGCGTTAAACAAAAAGGTCTACTCTTCAGACAGTGGTACCTCACACTTTTCATAAAATGCCGTTTATTTTGCTATTTTTTAAACTTTTTTTGCGTTTGTTTCTGACAAATCGGAAGCGTAAGATAAGAATCATGGACGGGTAACCGTTCCTATTACTCTTTATTCGTTATCGTTTTTCTTGCAGCATGTTCGATGCTGATTTTCAGTGTCGTGGCCCTTGCTCATTTCGAATCAGCTCTATGGGGTGGCGATTTGAAAAGAGACACGTCGTTTATTTTGTTTTTTTGCTTTTCTGCTTTTTTTTCCCTATGTATCCCTTTTTGCAGGACTCGGGTGTCGAAGTCTACGGTTTGGACGACCAGACAATGGATTCGCTCTCCAAGGTCATTTACTTGGTATTATAAAATAATTCAAATAGTAGGCGCGCTCTGATTGGCCATAAAACCATTT